GCAGGGCAGCCCTGATCCTGGAGTGCTAAATGCTGATGAAGAAAGTCAGAACAAGTACCACAAAGCAAATTACAGCTTAAAAAATAAAAAAGGGGATGTTTTTCTTACATTTTGAGTGATTAACCTATGGTTGATGCTGTCTTTCAAAGAAAGGACAGGGAGAATGTAATCTGCCATCCCTGGAAGCCTTGACACCAAGATGGGCTGGCTTTCTGGAGAATATATTCCAGGGAAAACCCACTTTGAAGCTGACAGTGGTGCTGACTGAAAGGTTGTGAGTGGAGCAGTAGGAGAGAGCAGGGCAGAAACCCACTTATATCTAACAGCCTGCCCACCCATCTACTTGACAAAAATGCCCAAAACTTGTCTCACTTCATCCAACTGCATCGCTCCCACTGGTGATAATGATGGGCAGATGCATACCTAGTCTGGTGAAAGTCCAAATATAACATATGCAGCAGAAACTGCTAGTTAAAAAAGAAAAAAAAACACCTTTCTTCAGTTTACCTAATTGGGTCTGTGTTTTGCCTGGAGCTACCGAGTGAGAACGTCTCTAATACTGTTTTCAGTGTCGTGGCACCTCTTAGGTGTCACTCTTCTTGAGCCCGCCTCCACAGACTTATTTCTGACATCTTCCTCTCTTTCACCCCTTTTCTCACACCTCTTCATTGATGATGTGGGTGCTGCTGTCCCCCCTACAAGGCAACTTCAACTGAGACGCTGGTTTTGGAACTGAATATCCAGCCTTGCCCTTCCTTTCCCACAAGGCAGATCTTCAGTCAAGACTATCCAAGGCACAAGGAGCAGGAGATTTGAAGCAAGACAGTCTCATCCAGGTCACAGAGGCATTTGACAACAAGGATGCAGAGGTCCTGGTCACCACTGGCAATAACAATATGGGCTGCTCACTATGGTAACATTGCACCAAGGCTAAAATGAAGCACAAGGAGCCAAACCATGGAGGGACTCATGACTTACTCTCAGGACCCTTGTATGTATTTTAATTTTGCTTTGACAGAGATTTTCACCTTTGATTTTGTCCGTAAGACCCAGAGCAGATGTTTCCCCTAAAGAGCCAGCAGGGAAGCCATCACACACTTCTTTCAGAGTCATCACAGCCAAGAGTTACAACTTCAGCCTTGTGCAAATAGCACTAGGTGTGAAGTATCAGGCCTTGTTTTTACTCCTTTTCTCTGCTCACATTGAAAGAAAGCAGTGACATCAAAACTCTCTTCTTTGCAATCCAGACAAAACATACAGCAAATATAGCCAGAAATCCACGGTGGCCATTTTGCCCAATGCACAAACTTAATTTAGCCAAAGTTCCTTCTTGTATATTTTGGCCTTGACTTTGCCAACAAAACATGAGCAATAGCCAGGAGGAAACAAGGCAGGAAAGGCCTCTTACCCTCTGCAGCACTTGGTCATTGGACCTGCTTCTTACACAGTGTGGGGTTTTTGCTTTGTGGCTGCCAGCACCAGCCATGTCAGACCTTTGCCTTCCCAGTCAATGGCTTTGGTTGATGTAAGTCGTGATGTTTTGCTGAACCTGAGTGACCCAGGAGAAAAAGAACAGGAGGCTTTTTATCCAGGATGGGATTCCAGCTCCTGCAGAAGGGAAGTGTTCACCCAGCTGGGAAGAAAACAATCCAGGAAGAGGATAAGTTTATTATTATTAGGCTGTGTAAAAGTTAGCTACAAAATAAAGCCAGTTCCCAATAGCAATCATTTCTGGCAAAAACCTTAGCCCATTCAAACTGGGTGCTATTTTTTGGGGGGTGGGAGTTTGCTGTTTTACATCAGTACAAGGATATAAACACTTGGAAAGTTTTGTTGTAATAAGTTGGAGAAACTAATTTCATCCCATGCCATCCCCAAGGGTCTCCTTAAAATAGCAACATTACAAAGGCTTCTTTCAGCACCGCATTCCTTCTTGGTTCAATATACACACGTCCATGGATGCAACCTGAAAGAAAACCAAAACAAAACTTAGTTGTCCAAACTGCCTTTGCCTTGATGAGAAAGAAGCCTGGGACCTCATAACAGCCTTCCAACACCCAAACTGGACCTACAAGGAATCTGGAGAGGGACATTTTACAGGGGCATATAGTGTCATGACAAGGGGGAATGGCTTTAAACTGACAGAGGGGAGATTGAGATGAGATGTGAGGAACAAGTTCTTCCCTGTGAGGGTGGTGAGGCCCTGGCACAGGTCGCCCAGAGAAGCTGTGGCTGTCGCATCCCTGGAAGTGCTCAGGGCCAGGTTGGATGGGGCTTGGAGCAACCTGGTCTAGTGGAAGGTGTCCCTGCCCATGGCAGGGGGTTGGAACTGGATGAGCTTAAAGGTGTCTTCCAACCCAAACCATTCTATGATTCTGTGACTGATCTGCTAAGGAGAATGTCCTTAGCATTAGTCACCTGGTGGGAAGACTTCCAAGCAGGGATCTCACAAACGCATCATCCCAAACAAAAGCATGCATCTGGAAATGCAGAATACATAATCTTGCCCTCAAAAGACTGTAGAGAGAGAAAGGATCCTCTTGTAACCAGGGCAGAGAGAATATACAGTGTTTGGGGATGGTGGGTGTTGAGAAAATAATTTTTCCTGAGGCACCTGCTCAAAAAAAAACCCTACAGCAGTAGAGCTGTTTCTTGTCTGACCTTTTATAAATCACAATTTCCAAGAATATCAAGGCCTAAAACTGCAGGGCCCAATTCTCTGCACCTCATGAGTCAGACAGCTCCTTCTTATGTAGGAAAAAGACTTAAGAGGTTGTTGTAGGGTCATGTGAATGGTGAAGATGCTCACAAGTCCACCTCTGGTACAGGGAGTCCATGGACATGTTTTACCATGACTTTAGAAGACAACCGTATGAACCACCAGTGTAGTCCTGCTCTTCAGCTGTGTCTCGCATTCCTGCTCTACCCAGAGGATAGAGAAGAAGGTGATGAGTGGAACAGGGTGGCATCCAGGAGATGCCAGGAGACTTCTGTGGATCTGACCTCATTCACAGCAGTGGCAAAAATCTGTGAGTGATGCTGAGCTGTGAACTAAGCTTTAATTCTTACAGCTGCATCTGAGAGAGGGATGAAGGTGTGGGGCAGTACCTTGTCCATCTTCACTTGTGCCTTGCTTCAAGTGGCCGGGAGGAGGATTACAGCTACTGCTTGGGGAAACCCATCTGTAGACCAGGCTGCAGTGCCATCCCTCCAAAGAATAGCTGTGGCCCACGCACCTCCCATCCTCCCAGGAGGGAACAGGCAGGGAAAAATGAATTATACCCTGACTGCTGTACCTGGCAGGGGGCTGTCTTTGGATCTAGGGAGTCCTGAGGTGTGAGTTTATTTTGCTTGTAGATAAAGGGAATGCGGGAAAACACCCCTCGTAGCCTTTGTGAACATGAGAGCAAGATGTGGCCAGAGTCAGATTTCTCTGCCATATTTCTTGGGCAAGCTTTAAACAGAAAAATCTCCTCTTGTGCAGATTCAGCAATTAGGTAGTAATCTGCCTTTAATCATTAAATTAATAAATACCAGCCCCAAGGCATCCCCAGTCCAGTCCCATAATCCATACATGAGGGACCAGATAGAGACAGGGGACCAAAATCTGGATGTAGACATTCCCTAAACCTTATCAGCACCTCCTCCTCCTGGTAGGAGCAGGAGGTGAGGGCATTTTAATATACAAGGCTTTTGCCTGCTTCTCCCGTCTCTCCAAGAGAAAAAACAGCAAGGGAGCTGCGATGGGGCCCCTGAAACTTTGCAGTGGATTTTTTTTCTCCTTCTCAGAATGACTATAGAGCCCTGAGTACATATTTGCTCAGTCCACCCCACACTTAAGCACACAGAAGGCTCCCCTGAGGATAGGGGCTCTCCTCCCATTCCATCCCCCAAGTTGGGCACACTGGGCTGACATGAGCCATACCCATACCCAATAAACAAACCCCAGAAGAGCTGGAAATACTTGCCTGGAGATTCCCCAAGGAATCCCTCCCAAACCACTACACACCCCCCACCCATTCTTCAACCCCTCTCCTTGGTAAGTATCTTTGTAATATATTCCACGCTGCAAGAGCTTGAAATATCTGGGAGATGTGAATGGGGTGGGGTGAGGATGGCTTTATGGCTTTTAAATCTCCCTTCTTCAGCATCCCTCTCCCCATCTCCCCCCTCCACATCTCTCCCTTTCGGCTTTCCCTCCTTTCTCTATCCCCATCTCCCCCCCTTCCCCGCATCCTCTCCCTAACTAGAGGCCCGTGTCCCCCGACAGCTGGAGGGAAGGGGATGGGGCAGGAATGGGCCGGGGTGGAATGGGTGGGAGGGATGCAGGACTGACCCCGTACTTCCCAGTCCTGGCACCACCAACCAATGGGGGCCCGGCCGAGGAGGGGTGTTACACCGGCCCCGCTCCTCCCGCAACCGGGGAGACCCGCCGGGGCTGGCGGGCAGAGGCAGAGGAGGAGGAGGAAGAGGTGGAGGAAAAGATTGCATCAAGAGCAGAACTTCCCTCCCCGTCACCCCCCCCTTACAGGAAGCCCTACTCTACCTTCGCCTTGGAAAGAGCCCCTTTTCATAAAATTAGCTGAAGGCACCTATTCACGGCCATGGGGTTGTGAGAAAAAAAAAATAAAAAGGAGGGGAAAAAAAAAAGGCACGCAACAAACGAACTGTAGAGTTTGGTTGTGGGTTTTTTTTTTCTTTTTCCTGGTTTTTTTTTTTCCTCTGCTCCAAAAAATAAGACAGAAATGCACACAGCTCCACTCTGCGAAAACTTGATGTTTTTACCGTCTGCTCTCTGACAGACCTAGAGAGGAGGTTGGCGCGCTTTTTTATTATTACTTTTTCTTTCTTTTCCCTTCCTTGCTTCCGTTCAGCTCCTCTAAAAGAACCGCTGCTTCTGCGCGGAAAAATAAGCCGAAAAAACATCAAATCACGGAGGAGAAAAAAAAAAAAAGGCAAGGGTGGGGAGGAGGGAGGGGGGGACGGACACACATAAAAAGAAGATAAAGGAAGAAAAATTAAGGGGGAGGGGAAGAAAAAAAACTAAAACACCACCACGACTCGATTTCCAAAGTTCCCCAAGGAGCCAGCCCGGAGCGCAGAGCCCCGCGTCCGCCTGCGTGTGTGTCTGCTAGCGTGCTGCATCCGTGTGATTTACAGCCCCCTCCCCTCATCGGTTCTCCTCCCACGTCTTAAAAATGATAAGGGGATGGTTGCTGTAGCTTGCTTTCGGCTCTTGAACAAAACCTCTGGCTGCTTGGCTTTGGGGAGAATGGGGGGGGGGGGGAGGAGGGCGTTCCTACACGTATAAATCTTTTTTTTTTTCCTTTCTTCTTAGTTTTATGAATGAAAGCGGCCGGCTGAGCTGGGAGTAACATCCCTGCCCTGAAACTCCTCAAAATCCGTGAAATCCAGGCGGGTAGCAGCGGAGGAAGGGGAGGCAGCGGAGCGGTGGCTCCCCCGGGTACTGGGGGGGGGGCTCGGCAGCGACATGATCCCCGTCCCGGGCAGCCCCGGGAGAACCCCGAGAGGCTGCGGGCTCCTCTGCCGGGTTTCTGAGGGCTTGTCCTGGGCATGGGACGGAGGACGCGTGTGCGCGAGTGGAAAATGCGTATATATACATACATACATATAACACAGTAACAATAATAATAAAACAAAATCCCGAGGATTTCAGAACATTTCGCGAAGTAAGTGAAAAACGTTTCTGCCGAGGGAAGAAAAACAAAAACCAAAAATAAACTACTTAAAGGGGGTGGCGAAGGAGGGGGAGCGATATTTCAGCCCTATGCTTTCATGCCGTACTCAATCGGCTTTTTGAAACTGCAGATCCTTTGAGACAGAGAAGGGAGAGTGAAGCAAAAAAATAAACCACCCCTATTCGTAACTAAAACGCACTGCAACCTTGAAGGCTGGCAGAATAAACCTATTGTGGAGCTGAAACGCGCCGGGATATGCAAGGGAAAAGCCCCCAGAGTACCACTGTTTGCGAAAAGGTAATTGCTAAGTGAAAATATTTCCAAGTTTTTGCTTTTTGTAACTTTCGACTTTGCCGTTTGTTTGCATGCCGAAAAAAAAGGCGAAAGAAAAAAAACAACAAAGCGCTTTCCCCTCCACACACACCCCCAAACCCCTCTGAAACTAAAAGATAAAATTACTGGATCTAAAAATAAAGCAGTGGTTAAAAGCCTCCCCCACCCTCTCCAATCTCCCACCCCTTCCACCCCTCTCTCGCCTTCTCCCTCCCTCCCTCCCTCTCTTTCCCTCTTTCTGTGTGTTTGCGTTTGACAAAGAAATTATTTGAACTTCCCACTGCCTCATAAAAAGGAAACAGAAGAGCAGTTTTGACATATGGATGTGATTTTTTCTGCTACGAGACAGATGCACACGGAAAACAAACAGCACCAGGGGCTGCAGCTCTGAAGGGAGCGAAGTTGCTCTGCTTCACATGGGCTCCTCGGCTGCGTTTCGGGAGCTGCCCAGATCTCCAGCCATGAGAAAACGGAGCAAAAGACCGGGGTTTCTTGTCATGTGCCTTTCTGGCTAAAACTGTGGAAACAAACAAACAATCAAACAACACACAAATTCTGGAAGGGGGGGCGGGAGGGAAGGAGAAGGAGAAGGAGAAATCATCTGCAACGCTGGAAGACCTCTCGTCCTCCTACTTCCCTGAGCAAGCTTGGATGCTGGAAGAAGCCTCTTGGATATGGGATCATATCTGGTTTATCACAGTCTGGGTTTGATCCTCTGCTGCTCCGTCCTGAGTTCAGTCTACGCTCTGGTGAGTCCCTCAATCTTTCGCGTTCATATTCTTGAACGATCTTGCACGGCTGTTTCCTTGATGAGTAATTTACTGTATCAAGCATTTAGAAGGCAGAGTGCTGGGTTTGCTTTTTTATTTTTTTCAGCCCTGTGGCTTATTTCGCTGGCAGATAGTGTGTGCAGTTGGTCTCAGAGTTGCTGTACCAGATGAAATTAAAATGTCTGTATGTCTGTGTTTCCAAAAGAGTTTGAATCACTTTTAAACCACTCCAGACAGGAACGCGTGCAGTTTGACAGGAGTCTAGGGACACCATTTAGGGGATCATTTAAAAGACACCTGTGGGTAAAGGGCAACTTTCCTTTCCTTTTCTTTTTTTCTTTTTTTTTTTTTTCATCCACTACCCCTCCCCAAGACACCAAATTTAATTTTAATTCAATCTTCTTAATCTGCAAATCTGCTTAATCTCAGCGAAACAGTACCTTCCTCTTTGGGATTAAATTTGGAGAGGACCTTACAGTGCAGGGCTTGCAGACAGTTTACACTCAGGAACATGAAAGTAGTATTAACCCTTTAGTACTTGTCACTGTTTTCACCTGTTCGTGCACACACTAGGAGAGAATATTTTTCCAGAGGTAGCAAAGGGATGAAGTTTGTAAAAAATGCCTTGGTGCTAGCAGTGGGGAATGGGCTAAGAGCTACAGACCCCCTCTGCAGCCCAAAGTGGTCTCCAAAGCCTTTCTGCAGAAGTGAAGGGGAATGTGATACGGAATTGGCCACCACATATTAACCCACAGATGGGCATGCTGCTCTGACATGTGCTTTCCTTGCTTTTTCCATCCCTGGTACCACCACTGTTGTTATGATTTCTCAGTGCCTTTTGGTTTAGGAAGGGGCATGACCACCATCTAAAGTGGTGTCTGCTTTCCACGAGGGATGGAGATGTGTTTGGAAGAGAGTAGGCTCACCCTGACCCTGGCTACAGCCAGGTCTTCCCTGACCCTCCAGGAACCATCACCCTGGGCGCTGTCCCCTTTGTTTGTGACCTTGTGCAGGGCTGGTAGGGGGGTATTGCCACCATACACCCAGCATCATGCTAAAGGGAAACATCTCATCAATAAATGAGAAGAAACAGCCCCTTGGAAAACTATCACCGTTGCAGTCCATCCTTGCCTTGCTGTATTTCTAAGCACAAATAAACCTTGAAAAACCCAAAGAAAATTGGGGAAACTGGGAGGACCACTTGTAGATTTGTTTTTACTGCAGTTGAGGTTTTTCCCCTGTTCTGGGGTGGGATTAACATCGCCATGACCACATCTGAATTTGGGGATATATCACGAGAGTGTAAATCCTGCAGCACCTGCTACCTCCACCTCCACAGCCCTGCTGCCACTGAAGTCAGCACCAAAATTCCTGCTAGATTTGGTGTCTTTGTTGGTAATGGTGAAAATAAGGTTCATGAAACAGACAGATTAGAGCTCAGCAAACTTTAGGACCCAGAAAAGACAGGAAAGGCTTCAGAGTGCGTCTCCAGTCCCATTCTCGGTTTACTCCTCTCTCTCAGTACATCCCAGTACCTCCAAGAAGGTGCTGAGGAACAGACAGCGAACCAAGCATCATCCATCTCGCATTCCCAGTGGCTATTCTCTTTTTGACACCCCCCTCACAACAGACACTTTCAGATCACAAGCCATTTGCTCAGCAGCACTGGTAAGCAACTGGATCACAGCTGAACATGCCCAGTGCACCACTTCAGGGTGAGATGGACCTGGGCATAAATCTAGAATAGAACCATATAATCACAAAGGGACAAGAAAGCAGGGAACTTCACTGGGAAGGCTAGGCAAGGAGTGCACAAGAGTATTTGCTCTTTTGCATTTCCAAAATCCTGATACCCTCCTGTACTGGTATAGGGTCCTGCCGCAAGAAACCCCATTGAGTTTAATAAAGCCCAGACTGAAGTGCATGTTTCAGACACTTCCCATGCTTTTCAAACTCAGTACTGACAGCTAGAAGACTTGTCAAAAGGTTTGAAAAGTTGTCCTGACAATTCAGGGGCTGAAATGTTGTGTGTCCCTTCTGGCATCCCCTTAAGCAGAATAAGTAGTTCAGCCCATGTCACCCCACTGTACACCCACTTGCGAGGCAAGGAACAACTTGCAGGGTGCCTAAAGCCCTGTTTATTTTTGCTGCAGTTGTTTCTTTTCCAAACTAACTTGATTTTTAAATGAACTCTGAAAACACTGAATAGTGTTGACTGCATATTTCAGCAAGGTGATGTCTTGATAGCTACGCTGTAAGAAGGGTCGTATATATATTGATATTTGGCTAGCAGGTCTGAGTGTGTTTTATGTGTTGCTATCAACAGAAGTCACCAAGTGCCTCATTCTTAGAAGCAACAAGCAAAAATCAATGAGAGTAGCTGCAGAACGATGGGGATGCAGGGACTTAATTTAGAGACAGGCTCTGTGGCAGCTTTGGGTTAAGCTAAAAGTGGTACCCAATCATTTACTTCCCCAGCAAAGCAAATCAAAGCTGTGTTGTGAGTTTGAGTCAGGAGGATTTCCACAGACTGAGGCAGACGCTGCTCAGAGCTTCAGGGCACAATTCACATGTCTGAGGCTGGAAGACTCAAGTCTTGAGAACGGTGGCCCTAATTGCTGCGGTCTTTGCAGCTGGGTCGTTTTGCGCTTGAGAGTTGGTGATGCCGAGATGGGGCAGAGAATTATGCATCCCAGACCTGAAGCTGTCACTCCCATTATGCTTTTTGTTTGCCAGCAAAGATGACAGTAAAGGAACTTTCCAAAGCAAAAATGCTGAAGTAGGGCATGGAAATGGTTTCTTTGATTGCCTGTGCCACTGATACATCACGGGGCAGGATGCTGGCACTGAATCACTTCTCCACAGCATGCAGGCTGTGTGTCCCTACATTCACTGTAAACCAGGGTGGGGGAAAAAAATGCTGTGGGAATGAGTCCTCAGAGTTAAAAGTATCTGCAGAAATTGTGGCCCCCTCCATGAGCCTGCAGCCGCACAAAATCCATACCTAGATCAAGATCTCTGTCTTGAGCTGTTGAGGGGCAGCTGAGAGGCACAGATGGCTGTCTTTGATGTGGGGAGAAGTACTGGGTGAAGATTTGCTCTCCTCCAACTACCCAGAGAATTGCCATGTGGATAACATGATTAACACCTGTTTGAACAGTAAGGGGAATTTCACCTGTCAGTTGAGTGCTTTGAACCTGAAATCTTGTGAGGTGAGGGTGTAAGTTTGGGTTAATTCTGCTGTTTGGTCCAAGGGCTGGGGAAGCAAGATTGTCCTGAGCCAGATAGCTCTGTAAACATGGGCTCGAAAGTATGATGTGTGCAAAAGGAGCTTTAAAAGTAGGGTTTGACATCAGCAGAGCAAGGGAGAAGTTAACATGTAGGCACTATGATTTTATCAGAAAGGTGCTGTCTTGCAGAAAAACCTCCCTGTGTCCTAGTCCCACTCCCAGGCAAAACCTCCATGGACTGGTCTGCTGAGCCTTCCGTTTCCACTTTGTTTCCTTCTATTGTCCTTCTCAGCCTGGCAGTCCCTAACCTAGCAATCATTAGGGAAGGTATTCTGCATAATAATGATGACAATGAGGACAATGATTATGACGATGACGATTATGATGATGATCATCGTCCACAAGTCATCTGCAGAGCCTTGAATCAGAATAGCTCCGTTTTGGGAAACAGGTATGATGAGCCTGAGCTGACTGCAATCTGCTGAGCAAAACAGGACACGGGAGCAGATCCATGACAGATATGAAAGGGGTAGCAAAAGGGACCCTCCTTTACTGTGTGTGGGTCTTGCTTTTCAGCAGTGCTCAGCACCTTGTAGAAGGTGCTGCACATTAGGGGGATGCTTTTTGGCAGCGGAACGGTCTCAACGCCTTTCTGTTTGCTGCAGCCTGTGGTTCCCCAGCCCTGGCCCCACTCAGGCTGCTTGGGCAAAGCTGAAGCTTCCCTCCAGTTTTTGCAGAGAAGCTGTAGCACTCTCCCAGAAATTCAAGTGGTATCATTAGGGGATTTGAAACCTTTGCTTGCAGATGCACATCAATATAACCCAAATAAAATACAAGCTCAGCCAGGTCACCTGGAGGAAGCTCCCAGCCTCTATTCCCAAGAAAGCTGCATTCACACAAGCATTGGTGTTAATCTCTGCTAGGAAAGTCCAGAATAAATCAAAAAGTTCATTCCAGAGTGATACTTAGGTCACTAACCAGCCAAGACCCCAGTGCTCGGGCAGCAAAGCAGCTACATTAAGGAGGTGCTGATCAGTGTTTCACTCTTTCATTTGTTCCTTTGATCAGACCTACATCTTCAAGAGAAGGATTGGAAGTTGAATAATTTATATCTGGAAGGGAAAGAGAATCATATTCTGATGCAGAATATGTCCCATAATAAAAAAGAATAGTATTAATAAAAAAAATCTGCAAATCCCAACTAGCTATCTAACTCCATTAACTGAGGACAGGTTCCAAGCGCAGGGAAGCAATGTCTGAAATTTTCATTTCTCCACACACACTTGGAGCATGCCCATCCCTACCCCGTGTATTTATGAAAGATACCATTTTTGTTATTGTACTTTGGGATTAGCAGATATCCCCTAACTATAAAATACTCAACCACAAAATATAAAGCAAACAAGCGTCTGCATCAGGGTAATGCATGGGCTGTGATTTCATCCAGCGCAGGCCAAAAAAAGTTCAGCTGCCTGGTGGCAAGTCTGACCTGAGCAGGCTGGGTTTGGTGTGAGCTTCTCGCCTTGGGAAGAGGAAAAGCAACCGGGCAACTGT